TTTTTTTTGACCAATTTTGCATGCTTATATCTGGTAATCTGAAAAACTAATTTGAAAACAACAATATGCCATATAACAGTCATTGTTGAATTCCTATAATCTTGTTTAGTGAAATTCTGTATCATTTCCAATGTTTTTGTTTTTATTATTTTTGTATCCTATCTAAAAATGATAAAAAATACATAATAGAGGTGTGGTGCAGGACAATAAGGGGCAATCTCATAGATTTGTTGGAAACACAGTGTATGCTAAAAGTTGGGTGGTCCGCTACATCTTTCCGTGCTTCAGAAGTTTTTGACGAAAATGAACATGCTAGATAACGTTCTGGCTGCTGGTCTTCCATGACTGGTTTTGGCTGTTTGTTGGTTCCTTGGGTGCTGGCTGTTAGCTTATTGGAATACAGTGTGAAGTCTCGGAGGTTGCCCCCCTGGGGTACAGCTTCAGGATGGCCGCTGCTTTGGGCACACAGTAGGTTTAGAGGGCTCTGTCTGTCTTGTTCTTTGTCTCCCTTCAGCTTTTTAGCTCTATTCACTGCCCTGTGATTTTTAGCAACTCTTATGACCTAGATTGTTCTTCAAACTGACTCCCAAAACTTGGACTTCTTTGAAAGGATAGTTCCTGAGATCAGTGGGGAATTTTGTCTTGACCCTAATAGGGCTCACCCCAACTAACCCCTTCCTTGTTTTCCATAGCACACCATCCAATTTCTAGTGTAGGCTGTATTTCCAACAAGTCCATGAGACTCCCCTCATTGCCTTATGCCACACCTCCAGTGCTTTTGACAGTGACTTTGACTTCAAGATTATCCATAGTCCATTGGAAATGGAGTTAGTGACTTTGGGGGAGAGATTTGGAGTCCTCTATTTCACAGCTTGCTTCTACCACTGGATAGAATATCTGAAGCACAGCTCTGTCCTGGGATGCGGACAGTGGTATCCCCATTGTAGGAGCTCAGTACTTGTGGTGGAGGGGCAGCAGCCTCAGGTCCCTTCAGCTTGGCCCCCCATGGTATTCCCAGTGGCACAAAGGTAGAACCTCCATTCTGTGTGTGCAACTGGACAGTGGGAGGAGGTTTTGCCTCTCAGCCAGATTTCCAAAAACTTAGCACATTTTCCAGGCTTAAGGAGACATCTAATTTGTAGCATCAGAGTGGAGGCAGAAGTAAGCATGACTGATACAAAATGAATTAGTGCCACGGGGACTCGGGGACTCGTTAGACTCAGGAAGTGGGATTCCCAAGGGACAGGTGCTACCCTTCGTGCTGTCAAAGGAGAACATTACACCGAATTCTGGTTTACAGGTCTCCATGGACTTTATATGCCACCAAAGAAGGAGGCACACTTCATTCCACAAAAGAGAGTAAGTCTTCTGAGGAGATGAGCAGGAAAGGTGAGGGCTGAGGAAGGCAGAAACTGTGAACTCAGCATGGATTAGGTGTGGCCAAGGGGCTTCCGTGGAAGGTGGGACAGGGCAGGAAAATAGCTGATGGGGTAACACTACACCACCTTGGGTTATGCTTCTTTGGTGTGGATTAAAGTCTCTAGAGGGACCTTCACCACCACGCTGAATGAGATGGGCCTGTCTGGGGCAGCTGGTTGCTCTTGCTTTTTAATTTCTCAGAAGGTCAGCTAACAACTTCTTTTTGGCTAGGTGATGCTGAGCTTTAGCATTGGTGATTCCATTTGGACT